AATGCAATACTATCTCTATTTTGTATATGAGTAAAATGAGCAGTCCTCCAAAGGAAATAATGGGGGGGGTTAATTATTTTTTCACAACTATGAGGGATTGAGTACCTTTCTCATACTCTTACAAGGAAAACACAATCCTCTTCATGAACAAATGTTTAATTGGAACGTGGAAGAAAAGTTCTCAACACATTTTAAGTTAAAATTTGTATTTTTGAGGTATTAGTCTTTAGTGGAATCATTGAATTGCTGCATAAGACAGCAAATTATCCAAAAGGAGTAACTTTAGGAATGTGGTTGTGATCTGCTGACACAAATTTCTCTTATGAGCATAAAACAATGGTACAGACAGCAGTGACTTGTCTCGCAGTGCTTTAGCAATGCAATATTATTTCTTTTTTTTAATGAGTGAAATGAGACAGAGCTCAGTGACTGCAGTGACCCACAGGAAGTCAGTGACACAACCAGGAATAGAAGCAAGACCTCTCAGCAGCTCAGTCCCATGCTTTAACCACAAGCCAGCCACCTCCTTCCCATCTCAGATTAGCACAACCCTGAGCCCTGGTTGCATCAGCTCCTCACTTCAGATGTCTAAGCATGTATAATTGTAGAAATCTGGATTTCTGAAATTAAGTTACATTCATAAATCTGTCTCAGCTCAATCAGCCAAGAAATTTGGATAAACTGGTTTTAAATGAGGCTCTTTAAAAAGGTTGTTTTGGTTGCTTTAAAAGGATTCCTTCAGAAACGAATTTCGGATGGATTAGCACATCAGTTTGTGCTTGAGCTCCTTATTCCTATATTTCCTTTTGCCTGCCAGCTGTCTGTGATGTGCCATTTGGGCACATTTAATCAGAATGGGACTGGAACAGCAACATCATATCCCACTAGAGAAGAGCCAGGCAGTCCTAGAGAGAAAGTTATTCCCTCCAAAATGAAATCAGAGAAGACCTGGGGGGAGACTGAAGGTGAGGAAGAAAACCATTAAAATTAGACAAGAAAACCTACCTAAAATTAGGTAGTCAGGCTGGTGTGATTTGGCTTTAGTGAATTTAAAGCAGGCATGGGTTGGATTTTGCTCTCTTTTTACCCAAGCCTGGAAGTTCAGGCAGAGGAGGCTCATTTTGAAGGGGTTCTTGTTTTGACCCGCTCTGCAGTTATCTGTGCAAAATCTGCACCGTGCCTGCTGCTCTCCCTCCCGCTGGATCCCAGCAGGAACTCACCCAGCACTCCCCTCTGCCCAAGGAATGCACTTTACACCCCAGCCTGTGCCATGGATCTGTGTAAAATGCCACTGATAGCAGCTGAAACTCGGAATTCCCTGCAAGAAAAGAGTGTGCAGGCTGCAGATAGCAGTGTGCTGTGATATTATGACTTGCTTTTTAAAAACAATCCCTTCCCAGACCAAAAACTGCCAGTTAAGACAGAATGAGATATGCTGGGGCAAATAAGATTTGCTTTTTATCAATAAAAGGACGCCAGATATATGAATTGAAATATTGCATTACCCAAGAGACAGAACACGGGGTAGCTTTAAAAAAAGGCAGCAATACAGGACATTTTTAACTTATTGAAACTCCATTCCTTTAAAGCATTGCATTTTGCACAATCAGGGCTTGCTGCTGAGGCTGTCAGATTTCTGGCTGCACTCTCAGAGCAGGAGATTGCCCTCTAGATGTTAAAAGTTTGGCTCCTTCTCCATTGCATCCCACAGCACCAGGATGGGACACACTGCGTGAGGGGTGGTTTTAAACTTGAGTAATGCACCCAGAGACTGAGCACAAACCCAGGGGAAACATAAAAAGTCAATAAAATATGGAATTTGTGTCTTTGCAGAGATGGGAAGGGGTAGAAATCCTTACAAGGTTGACAGCGTGTTCAAAAAATTGTGGAAATCACAGCATCACCTCCAATAAATTAGTTTTTCTAACCATAAATGCCTACCTGGAATTCCTTAGGAATTGTTGCACAGAAATTCCTTCACCAAGATGGGAAAGAGAAATGAAACCCCTCAGGGGAGGTTATTTTGTCATTGCTAACACCCTGATCCATCTGGAGATTCCACAAAGTCCTCATTTCAGTTTCTCATCTCAGTGAGAACTATTTTTGCCACATGATTCAATTTAATCTACTTCAAATTTTCTGAATAATTGAAACACATAATGTACAGTCAGTCAGTAATAACTGCAAGCAGAAATAATATTTTTTTTTCAGATACAATAAATGCTTCAAAAAGACTCACCAAGAAAAACGGGCTGATTAAAGTGAGTTTAAAATGCAATTCTTTCACATGAAAAGAATTAACTAAAGCTTTTATACCCAATAAAAAAACCAGAGTATAATTGATCTTGTGTGAAGGCAAATTATCTTCTAATTTTAAAACCAGAACTGATGCTGAGAGAGTCTTTCCTGCTTGTCTTTGAACTTAGGGCAGAGCTGCCCATGGAGCAGCAAGGCCTGAGCCTGACATTTCATTCTTGTTTCATAACTCCCAGAGCTCCCAGCCAAACTCAGGAATCCTCCCAGATAAGCAGGGGAGAAAGTCTGGATCATCAGAAACTGCACAGCCAAACAATGCAAACAAAAACTTACCAGAAACTGATAAATGTCTTTATTATGACCATTTGAGTACTGTATAAAGCAACTTGATAACAGGACAGATAATACATTTGTAGCCTGTTTTATTTCTTTGCCAATACAGAAATGATGGCTTTTTTTGAAAAAAACCCACTCTGTTAAGGAAAAAAAAAAAAAACAAAAAAAACACCCCAGATTAATTAAAATTATAAATAAGGCATACTTTTAATTGCCAGAGAAAATGTATGGGTTCCTCATCTCTTCATTCTTCAAATTAAGATTAGCTGTCCAGAAGAAACATTTAATTATTGAATATCAAACCCTACCTAAAAATCCGTGTTAAGCAGGAAATCAGATTAAGTAATCTTTTCCTTTCCTATCTCAATCTGCTAAAATGCAAATTTACAAAATCTAAGTAATTTTTACATAAGTTATCACTCTGGTTTTGCTTTATATTTAATGAGTTCAGTTCAAAAGATGAACTTGCTAAAGAAAACAATGCTTAGAACAGAAACAGACTGAGAGTGCATTTGTAATATTTCTGTGAAAGCTGTGTTTGGCTGATTTCTCTGGACTGACAGAGATATCTGTCTCACCCGTGCCATTTAATTAAAATCCAAACTGTGCTTTGTATTTCTGCCTTTATTAAAAGCTGGGCTCAAAGCAGGGCTGCACAGTCCCCACTGGATGTTATCCATACCTGCCAATTTTTGGAATGCTTCCAGTTGCAGGGACTTTGAAAATGTTTGCAGGTTAAAACCTTGATTTTGGGGAGGGATCCCCTTTTCTCAGACACTTAAACTAAATGGGGAATTGTCCAGCAGCAGAGCAGCAGTTCTGCTCTCACCAGGGATAAATCAGAATTCTGTGAGGGTCCAGCTTAGATCCTTCTCCTTTTAACTTTCTACTGAAACTCTACCTCAGCTATTGCTGTAAAGTGGTAGAAATATTAATAACCGAGGCATTTAAAACCTCTTTGTTAAGATTGTTTTACCCACATTTGCCTCTTTGTTCATCCATGGTAATTCTGAGGGTTTGTTTTACTTGTTTTCAGGACCTGGCTTCTAATTCTGAGCCAGGGTATTACTGGAATAGGTTATTACTGCAGTATGTTAAAATAATTTTTCAAATACCCAACCCAAACAATAAAAAAGAACCACTTAAAAAAAATATTTCCACATTTCCAAGGCTAAAAAAATTTCAGATGAAAGGGAAAAAGCAGGAATTGAAAAAAAAAAAAAATCCTTGATCTGTCAAGGCAGAGGTAACACCTCAAGCCTATACAAATAGACAGATAATTCTCATAAAAATTAACACAAGGCTTCAAGCCTCTGCAGACAGAGAGATTGTTCTCATAAACAAAAGGCTGGAGGCAAAGTTAGTATCTGTAGGTAGTCCAGGTATTTTGACGTGTTCAACCCTAATCTATAAATTGCCTTCAGTATACAAATAATAAAGCAAATGTGGGCTCTCTTTCAAAACTCTTGATGACTAAGAGACATAATGAGGCAAATTTGGGATCCTCTCAACCTTGCAGTGATGTCCAAGGGATCAGGAGTTTTTCAAGATAAACTGTTGTATCCCGGGGCACCTCGAGTTCCAGGATGACTCTCTTAAAGCCTGTTGATCTTATGCCTTTTTTTCCACATCTAACTTCTTTTTCAAAGCCTCAGAGGCTGCGATAGAGGAGGTGACAGGCTTGTTGGGGCTTGCTGCCTCCGGAGAGAGGTACCGAGCACAGCCTATACCTTAGCTCGGCTCTGCATTCCTGGCAGGGGGGAAGAGCGCCCACAGATAATCTCAGACAAAAAAAAAAAAAAAAAAAAAAAAAAAAAAAAAAAAAAAGTTAAAAGAATTTGCTTTACCTCCGTTACTGCTAAGAACCTTGTCAGAAAAGCCTTTACTCCTGTCACAGCAGGACACAGCCTGACGTGAGGCGAGCCGGCCAAAGCAAACCGCGCAGCGCGGAGCGGAGCCGGCCGCAGCATGGCAAGGCAAAAGAGAAAGCAGCCGGCAGGCGGAAAAAGTGAATTTTCAGTTACGGAAGATTACAGGGAGCAGAGATCAAACTCCAGCTGCGCTGCGGGGCCGCGCTCTGCCCTCGGCTCCACGCGGCCGATAGCGCTGTGCGGGCCGGGCCGGGCCGGGTGCAGGACGGCCCGAGGGGACAGCGAGGAAGGAGAGCCCTCCTCATCATCCTCATCCTCCTCCTCACTGCCCGCTGCCTGTCCCGTCCTGCTCTGCTTCGCCATCCCCCGGTCCCCATCCCCATCCCTGTCCGTGTTCCCGTTCCCAGCCCGGCCCGCTCCCGGCCCGGCCCCGCTCGCTGCCAGCCCCGCTCGCCGTGGGCCGGCGGAGGCGGCGCCGGGGGGAGGCGGGCCCTGCCCGGGAGGCCGGGCCGAGCGGGGGAGTTTATCCCGCTGGAAGGGAACGGCTGCTCCCGCTGAGAACTGACAGCGCCAGCGCCGTGCGGCTGCGGGGACCGGCCCCGAGGTGAGGGGCGGCGCGGGCAGCGCGGGGCTGAGGGAGCCGCGGGCCGTGAGGGCGCCGCGGGCTGTGAGGGCAGGGCCGCGGGGCCGAGGGGGCTGCGGCGCTGCGGGGGCTCGGGGCGGGCAGGGCGCGGAGCCCGGGGCCGCCGGGGATGGATGCTCGGTGTGCCGGCCGGGCGGGCAGGGCCCCTTGGAGCGGGCAGAGCGGAGCGCTCGCTGGGGAGCCCCGGCGGGATGCGGTGCCCGGAGCGCCCCGGCCGCGCTCCAGGTGCGCTCCCGGCGCTGCGGCCGGGGCAGCCCGGGCGCTGTGTCCATGGTGCTGCAGCAGCGGGTCCGGCACGGCGGCAGCGGGGGATGCTCGGGGCCGCCCCGCTGAGGTGAGGCGGTGATGGGCAGGAGGATGCATGGATGGATGGAGGGATGGAGGGATGATGGATGGATGGAGGGATGGATGGATGGATGGATCCGGTGCGCGCCGTCCATCCCTGCCGCCCGTGGGGGAAGCACCGCCAGGGCACTGCTGGGCTCACCTGGCTGCTCTCGTAATGAATGAACAGCTCGTTCCTCTTTTTTTTTTTCTTTTTTTTTTTATCGTTTCCTTCAATTTCCCAATCGCAGAAAGTCGGGGAGCCTCTCACAGCCTGCAACAACCGAGATGCTATGTTGAAATATATTGTGTCTTGATGGCATGCCTCAGGTTCGCAGGAGCGTTTTGTAATCTTCCTGGTGTCATTTCTCCCCAGGGGATTCTGCAGCTAGAGAGTGCAAGTTCCTGTGGTGTTGTAACTTTGTGGCCCTGTGCACACACGACAATTCTATGCTGACTTAACAGGGATGCGTTGTTAATATCAGTGATGTAAGGCTGGTATTTATTGTCATCAAAAGCTCAGGGAATTGTCAATTTCCGGATGTCCTGTGGAATTTAGGTTCCTTTAAATCAGTTTTAATTCTCCTTGAAATAACCAGGGGTTTGGATTTATATTTGTGACTGGCTATCCCATCTCTGAACAAGCTTTTGCTGTAGAACATTGTTACAATGTTCCATTTAAAAATATCTATTTTCTGGTGGCAATAAGCCTATCATTTAATAAGTAATTTACCTTGTAAAAGGTTACTATGATTTGTTACTAGTTAACCAAAAATTCCCAGCGTACACCAAGCAATTGTGGCATATGATACCGAGTGCTGTCCTTTGAAAAGAAGTTTCACATGGTGTGCTCTCGTTGATATCAGAATTTGGTGCATCAAGTGATGTGTTTGACATCATTATTCACTTTGGCTGTCACAAAAAAAAAAAAAAAATTGCTGCAAAAATTGCTCAGAGATTTAATTATGAGATTACAAGAAATCACTGCTAGCAGTGTGTTAAGGCATGTGGCACAATATAAGCATGGGCTTGTCAAGGGGAGAGAGAGCTGAAAAAAATACTTGGCACTGACTTTGAATGATAACCAATCAGAAATATAATATAAAGGCATTTTTACACAGACAGCTTTTGAATTTGAATGGTTTTAGGCATCAGTTTTGTAAAACATCTCACTAACTTGTAGTGGTTCAGAGATTCTGTACTTCTAAATAGCCTTAAGATGGTCTGTGTTCCTTAGAAATGCCAAATTCCTGGATAATACAATGTATTTAACATCAACATTCAACAAAACATCCATTATAACACGGAATATACAACTAATATTTTTCCTGATATAAACTTGTGTTCCATGTAACAAATCTGAAATGAAGGCAGTGAAATATTAGAATTTAATTGAAGGATATCAGAGCTATGCCTTTTAACCTTCCTTGTGGGACTGATAAATGCACCCCTTATCAACAGTGCTTCTGAATCTGACTCTTTTGTGGACTTTTCTAAATAACCATAAGTCCATTTCTAAGTCAATAAAATAAATTTAGGCACTGTTTCAATCACTTTTAGTGCAATTTCCTCCTTATAGCAATGGCTAATAAAATGAATTTTGAAAACGATTTTATTGTAAAAGCAAGAAAAATTTAAAAGTGGAATGAAACTTCTGTCTTGTACAAAGGCGGACCAAATAATGAAAAGTGAAATTAATACTTTTTTTCACCTTGATTGGTAAGGCCCTCTTCAGGTATTTTTTTAAATGTAATCTGCTCAGAGTGGAGTTGAAGATCTTTCCTTGCCCTTTTTAGTAGGCTAATTGTGAATCACTAACTGTGTGTGTTTGATATTCAGAATCTGAGTTTCTTTTACAAGCTTTTTCACGAGGATTGTTCCCATGTCCTTCTCTGCCACGCAGTAAAAGTTTGCAGTGCAGTTACTCAAGAGGAATCATCCTACAATTACAAATTCTCCATGAGGCTTTTGAAGTCGTGGGCACAACACTTTCCATTAGTTATTGCTGCTGGTTTCATTTTTTAATCACTAATAGGTTTGTTAAATCCAGCATGATATTAGGTGATAAGTGCTAATTATTTCACTCTGTATTTCCATAATGGTGTCTAGTTTTTAACAGCAGGATCTGGTTTTTGGGGACTTTATGCCAGATGTTCTCTGTGTGTCAGGTCACTTTTTGTGAACTAACAAGAGGAAGAGTTAGAAACAATCCAAAGCAAGAGAAATTGATGCACTCAGTCCTATTCCTCACGCCTCAGACAGAACTTGGGGGCTCCCAATAACAGGACAAGTTAAAGGAGGTAATTTACAATTTAAAGGACTCCATTTACTTGGGGAAAAACTCAAGTTTTTTCCTGTGGAGGCTTTTCCAAGGCAGGATGAAAAATGGAAAAGCCGTAAGATTTGTCTTCGGATTCTCAGGAATATGAAACATCAATTGATTCCTGCATTAAATAATAAACCTTTTTTATTTCTTTTCTCTCTTCCCCCTTCCACTTTTTATTCTCCACAAAGAGAAGAGCCCAGGGAGCTTTTCCAGTTGTGCTTTGTTTGAAATGTAGGGTAGTCCACCTTTTTCCAGTGGTGCTGCTCTCAGGTACCAGGGACAATGCAGAAAATGCTGCTGCTAAGCAAATGATCACCCTGGTACTCAGCCCTGTGGTGAGTGGGCTTGGGATACTCCCAGTCTTGCAGGTATAAGGAAATAGGAGGGAGAAAATAAATGTGGCAACCATAGGAAACATTAAGTTTCTGCTTCAGCATCAGCTCTTCTGCTGCAGCATGCGCTTCCCTCTTCCTCCTGCTACAAAGTTGTCAGCTCTGCTCACACTGCAGGGCAAATTATAATAAATCTGTCGTGGAGTTTTGCTCTTTAAATTTAGAGGGGGGAGAAAAAAAAAACGAAGCAAGGCCTATTCTGCAAGTCTTCCTATCCGGAAACTTTCGCAGAACTGAAGTCAATTTGATGATGTTCACATTTTTCTCCCACTCCGCCCACACCTTCCATTATATTATTTGGCCTGTTTGCCCTCTCATAAACCACTCTATAGAACTGAACTAAACAATGACATCATTCCCCAATTAAAATTCGTGATACATGAACTATATAGATATTTTTAATTACCTGTGTTACAGTAGTACCGAGCAGCCTAGTCAAGACTGGGGCCATCTTCTTACTCAAATGAAATAATTGAATAATTGCCCCTGTCCTCAATACTGTGTGATCTGGGATGTGAGAATGCAAAGAACTCCCCATTTGCAATGGAGAAACAATGCAGGAGTGAGGCTGAGGCAAAAAATTAAATTTAAAATTTTAGTGTGTGCATTTATGCTTGCAAGAGTAAATGATGCTAGTGGTAATAGATTCTAATTAGCATTATGACAGAAAAAGTTAGGGGTTTGTGTAATAAATCTCCAAATTTGCAGCAAAGAAACCACCTCTACTTCTAAGCAGTATCCTCTTTTCTTTACCTGGCAGTTTTTAAGCTTTCCCTGGAGACAGGGGAATATCCCCCTTGGACAGGGAAGGAGAAGGAGCAGCTCCAGGGCCGGGCTGTGAATTTCTAGAATGGACTAGCAGGAGATGCTCTGTGGACTTGCATAAGCCACCCCCTTTCCTCATGACTAAGCAGATCTCCTCCATGCCATGCAGGCTGCACATTCAGGACAAAGTCTATGAATCCAAGTCTCTGAATCCCAAAGTCTACTCTGCTGGTTGATAATTAGCAATTTACAAAACACAAAGTGCCGCAGTTCTGGGGATGTACCTCCAGCACTGCGTGGGGTGAACATCCCTGTGGGGTTCTGGGCAAGCTTATAGGGGATGTGTGTGTGTAGGGAAGGGATTAACCCTGTGGTAGGAATGGCTTCCTGCTAGACTCAGCACTGCTGAAAGGCTCTGTGTAATTTCTGATAACACAGGATAATAAATATTAGGTAATATCCCAACAGAAAATACACAGAGCACTCCACGCCAGCAAAGGAACTCCTTGGTTTCGTAGGAGATGCATAGGATCTAAAAAATAGATCCAAATCCCAGCTTCCTTGAGGTCAGTGGTGGATGTGCTGTCTCAGAAGGATCAGGTTTGCAGTGATAAAAGTTCAGTCCTCTGTACAGTTTGCTCCCTTGCAATTACTGCTGGATTCCTGCGTGGCTGTGGGTTTAGCGTGCTCAAAATTGAGGCTCCGGCTCTAAAGGAATTACTGCTTGCCCTGTGAGACTAAATGCCTGGAATTAAATAACCATGAGTATGTATTATAGCTTAAGTCCTACATATTTTTCTTTAAAACTTGTGAGAAATGCCGGTGTAACAGGAGGAGTAAATTCATCTGCCTTTTACGTGATCGATTTCTTAACGTATTTCAGCTCCAAATGAAACGCCAACATTTTGGTGCAGACGTTGCAGTTGGTGTTAGTTTATTCTAGACTTCCAATTAGGCATGGATTCTACTTTTGGTCTTCTCACAGCTATTATTGTGCCATTGTAAAATAGTCTCCTTCGTGCTGCTTTGCAGGCTGCTGGAATTTCATGAGCTCCATGGGGACTGATGTCTTTCCTCTTTATCACAGATCAGATTGGGACATATTTTAGATTCCCTTTTGCCAGAATCTTAGAATTTTTTTAGACCTCCAGCTC